AGTCTATAGAGGACGTCAGGCTGTTATCTCCTGCAAGATACGCATTCGTATTTAAAAACTTGAACACAGATCGTATATAAATAAGACGTAGGCCTCTTTGTTTGCTGCCTTTTTCCTGACAGTTTTAAGTAAAAGATGTTTCTGTGCCTAACATGTCATCTGCTGGGTTTATACTTAAAAGGGCTTCAAATTTGCACAAACATTTCAAACAATTGCTCGTTAGCAAATATTCACCACACACCTGAACACAACGACGCCAGTCCTTCCCCGAATAAAAGGCTCTGCTGTAGTCGGCAAAAATAAACTGACAACTTGATCACATTTAAATGTTCCTACAAACTTTTCTTTCCCCAAAACACCAAAGAGAAAAACCTCACCATTTGAATTTACAGACAGGAAGTGATGTCAGTGGTGCGTTCGCTGTCACTGGGAAAGTTCACAGAGCTCTGTGTGAACACTTAAACACCGACTCTCTGAATGGTTGGGGTGGTTGTTTGTCACAGAATTTTACAGATTATGATGTATGTGCTTTTCATGCATTGGAGACAAAGAAAGGAAAAGACACAGCTGTACCGTATGCAACATGACATACACTCATTTACTTTCAAAGATCAAGGTTTTTCACAGTACATCATATGACACAAAAGCATGTCCAGTATTTTACATATTGCTTTTGCTATAGCTTCTACCTACACTGCTATCTTATCACTGCTCCAGTTTTATTCAGCATACTCCTTCATCCAATATCCTCCATCAGGATAAAACTACCGGTGCTCTGTTGTGTTCAATGACTGCTATTGTGATCAAGGTGCATAAATATGACAATTGTGGTATCAGTCTTTTTATGGTATAGTGTTGTAAAGCTGCTGCCCCATTATGTACTCTATGAATGCAAGGAGAATTCTACAGTTATTGAAGAGAATCGATGAACAATACTGGCTAATATCTGGTTAAAGCCGGAATGCAGCTGAGAGGTAGATTAAGATTTTACTCAGCACTGATCTTAACCAGATGGAAGTCGAGTTCGTACCCACTGGTAAAAAGACTTGTCACACATGTGGGAATGACTTTTGCAGAGTGTCATAATAAACTACTACTTATACATTGGTTCAAACTCTTCAAAGATAGTTCAAGGTATGACAGATTTAAAGGTGCATGGAGCAAATTGTAGCCACTAGATGGCAGAAATACTTATGAAGGGAGCCCATTAGCTGTGTTTCCATACACCTGTTGAGCAAATGGACTCTTGAAATCTCACAAAAAAAAAGAAAAATAAGTTGTTTCTATTGCCCTCTTTGAAGCAAATAGATTGGGTGGAGCAGAGTAGTCAGAAGGTGGTGGTATAGGCTACGTTAGGCATGGCCATAATGAACACAGGAAAGGAAGCCAGAAACAAATCCAACAACAATAAATCTCAAAGAAGAAGAGCAAGTCTTTGGGTATCTATGAAGGAAACTGTTTTTGTGAGATTGGGGTCGGATTTGTCCAACTTTTCCTAATGTGATAGAAACACGGCTGAGGTCATTTCAAGTTGCGTTCAGAAGCTTACAAACTTTTTCGACACAGTGCATCGCAACCATCCCAATGGAGTTGTGTTTGTGGACACTTCATCAAAGTAATTTATCGGTTTTGGTCTCCATGAGAAGAATGTATGGGTATTTTTAGGAACTTTATATTTTACTACTTTGTTTATCTACATTAAAAGGCGCATATTTTCAGCAAAATAACTTGATTTAGTGCTGCCTTCATGCTTTTCACTGTCATGGGGCATCGAGAAGGAAAGCAGATGTGGAAAAAAGGAAAAGGAAAAGCAGGATTCATCAGCAGTTGCCATGTTTGTGCACTTGATCCACTGACTACCAAAGAAAGAAAGAAAGAAATCCAGGCAAGACCAACTAAGCCTACACAGTTATCTTTTACTCTCATCACATCTGATACCAAAACATAATGGGTGTCTACAAGTAGTGAAGCCTACAAGAGGAAGCAGGTACCTGAGATAAAGACAAATATGATGTTCATTAAAATAAAACAAAACAAAATAAAAGCATCATAATGTCCGTACATGTGAATATTCTGAATATATTGCTGTTAAAATGGTTGCAATATGTTTGTTATTCTGTTTGTTAAGTGATCTCACCAGGACTATCTGATCAAAAATGACCAAAAAAGTAAAATAATAAAAAAAACAGATCAATGGGATAAAAGCAAACAGATCACACGATATGAAATAAATAACTTTGTAATCCATCTAACAATTCTGTACTTAGGAATTTGTACACGAGCTTAAGGTAAGGATCGAGTAAGGTTCAACATTTCTCTTCTTGAACAACAAAAGCCTGCATAACAAATAAACCTTTATCACCACGTCCTATAGTCCAAGTGGATACATTTAAAGTTAACAGTCTTCCACTAGCTGAGCAAACAGATATTGTGTTGATTTGCAGATAAAGAGCAGTTACAAGGCCTCTGAAACAGCACTGAAGGTTTACAGCATGTCGGCATGTTAACATTATTACATGAACTCAGTGAACGTTTGCCCACCCAGCGTCGACACTCAAAACGTCTGCGTGCCAAAGCTGGCCGGCGAGACACATTGGCAGCAGGACCGACTCTTCCACACTATAGCCAGGTCTCCGGACACATCCAGGGTTAAAGTGGAACTGAAATGAAAATTAATCTAAGAAACTAGCATACTGTAGATATCTATTGTGTTTGTAGGGAAGTGGTCTAAATTCTAACAAACAGGTGAAATTTTGATTATTTTTCTCGCGTGCACTGAAAATAGTTCATTATATCACTAATGCTAAAGGAGTCACAGGCAGTTAAGCTGGTGGCTGACACTGTTAGCCATGGCTTAGTTCCATCTGAGGGTGAGCTCTCCATATGTTACTCTGTGGCTGCATGTTAAGGCAGCTTTCCACGGCAGGAACTCGAGGGCGAATGTTTACAGGAATGGCCCCGTAACCAGACCTTCCAGCCTTTCTGTTTCCACTGTGGCGGAGGACCCAACAGCTTTAACTGTGACCTTAATGCTAACAACGAAGGTTTTGTTGTGTTAGCTTATAAGGCCTATTTTACTTTGAAGATGGCGATGTTGGAGAGAACATTGGTTCTCAATGAGGACATCAACAGGGAAGAAAAAATGGTTGTTGTCCTTTCTGAATAAAAGCAATCAGTGTTTATTTTCTCTGAATTTAACCAATCAGCATTGAGACCTGCACAGCAGTTTTGTACCTTCCCTTTGGTGGGTCCCTTGTAAAACCCTCCTACAGAGGGGGTTCTTGCAGTCGAAGCAGGCACAAAGGTTCAGCCCTAACAAGCCCTAAAATGGCCCACGAGTTGCTGCAGTGGAAAACAGCCTTTAATTTCTCCACGCTGTGATACGAGTCAGGGACTAACATATGGAAGTTTACTGACCAACCACTGCTGTGAGGTTTGACAATCTGGGAAACCTAATCTGGACACATGAAAGATAGACAGCTAGGTCCACTCAGTAGGTGGTCAAATAATGGGAAGTGCTAAATTTAACAAGCTAGGCTTAATAGCTTTATCTTCACAAATATAAGACTCGTCATCTTTTACAATTTGTGGGGCGTTAAGACTTAAATCTTGATTATAGTCCCTTGCAGAAGTGCACATGGACATCTGTGGACACCACGGATGTGTAGCTGTTGTTGTTATACTACTGATCCCGATGGTAGGAGGACTTCCACACAGCAGGACTTGTTCAGAGAGCAGGGAAATCTCCTGTATGAACGTTTGTAAGCTACAGATCTATGTAGTGCTTCAATAAGCACAGCAACGAACACTGGCCATCAAATGTCAGTCAACCGCTGCCACAGGAACCAGCCACTGAGGAGATCAGACAGTGCTTCACAAAATGTCATAACTTTATGTACATTAGCTACAGTACCATTATAACTTATATGTCCTTGCAAAAAGTTGACTAGAATTCAAATTTCAGTTGACTTTAACATGCAAAGCTAATTTAATCAGTATGTTGTTGTACGTCGTTAACACCTATACAGCGATAGTTAGACTAGATAGTATGTTAGCTAACCACCAAGCTGGAAATTATCTAAACAAATAAATCAGGCAGATGTGTCGGTGATAAGATGACTGGTGTGCGGTCACAAACAGATTGCCCAGTTGTGTTAAGAGCTGAGGAGTCACATGTTTGATATGAGATGAAGGTCTTCTCCCAGATTCAGTACTTACCTGCTCAAACATCAGAGCGTACAGTCTGCTGTTTCATAATGAAGGATGGCTGATGGGAGTTTTCATTGATAAACACTGTGAGATCATTTTCAGCTCACTCCCATTCACAGTTTGCAAAAGAGTTGGTGCAGCGTAACAATGACCAGCAGCTGTGTCTTCAGTGGCATTACGATTTGAGTAAAGTCTGAAAATGGTTCAAAGTGATTCCTGAATTTTAAAGAGAAAAGATTACAGAAAATGTGAAATGTAGTAAGTGCTACGAGTTCTGTAAACAAAAAATACATGAAGAGCAGAAGCACAAAAAGCAGGAAAGCTCTGACAGCCCCAATGCTGAGCCACAACATCCATCAATCCGTTCACGTGGGTAAGTGCTTATTATTGAACCTGTCCATCAGTTCCAGTCTCTTCCAGGTTCCTGCAGGATTCACTTGTTCAGCCTAATATGGTAATTATTGCTTCTCTACGCTATGAAGCTAGTGCGCCTCACTAAATTATTTATTTTTACCAAAAAGTAAAAATGACAACACTTCATCAGGTGAACAGTCAGTGCGAGGAGGAACAACACACACACACCCATTCGCTCAGCGTGGACGTCAACCACGCTGAGACCAGTGAATTCAAACGATACGTTCAAAGGTGAGCTGTGACGTTCTAATCACAGCTCGACTGTGTCATACACACCAGGACACAAAGACACAGGCAAAGACATACACGGACCAAGTCACCCGAGCCACAGTCCTGAGGCCCGGCTGAGGCACCCCCACATGTGTGTGCGTTTCATGTCACACCGCTGTGTGTCTCGAATTCTCGTTTTCATTCCTGGGCGAAGACGGAGCCTTCCTGCTGAACTGGCTGAAGCTGGCGGCCCGGCACCTCGCCCTCGTCCCTCCTCCTGCCTCTCCGGCCGTCGGGCATGGGGGTAGAGTACTGTAGCGGCCTGGGATGGGGATGGTCTGGCCTGGATGGAGCATGTGGCTGCTTGGTTGGAGGTTGGTGTCCTTGGCGAAGAGGCTCTGGATGAGCTGGAATTTGTCCTTCTCTTCCTGTAAAAAGACGTCGACCAGAAGCTTCTTCTCCCGTTTGAGCTGCTCCACGATAGTTTTGGGAATGTCGGGGATCACCCAGGCGACCACGAGGCTGAGGAACATCACCAGGTTCTGGAGGAGGGAGAGGAGAAAACGACGTGAGAGGAAGAATGATGGATGGACATGGAGACAAATGAGAAGAGGTGGGACAGAAAAGTGACAGGTGCTGTACTCTGTATGAACCATCATAACGTCAGAAACATACACTGATCAAAACATAAAAATGCTGACAGGCGACGTGAATAACACTGCTCATCATGTGACAATACAATGTTCTGCTGGGAAACCTTGGCTCCTGGCATTCATGTGGATGTGACTTTGGGAGACCAAGCAAAAGCCTCCATGGCCATGATACTCCCCAACACCAGCAACCTCCCCAGCAGGACAATGTACCCCACCACACTACAGAAACTGCCCAGGAACTGCTTGAGGAACACAACAAACAGCTCAAGGTGTTGCCCGGTCCGTCCCCAAACTCCCCAAATCAAATACAATGAAGCATTGCGTGATGTGATCCATAGAGGCCCCGCAACCCCAAGACCCAAAGGATCTGCTGCAAATTGGTATCATTAACGATAAGTCTGCCAAGTACCCATGTGCAGACAGACCCAAGATTATGGTGACAATGAAGAAAACTTTAAAACACCATAAAGTTACAAAGAGTGTCTGATTTTCCAGCAGGTATCAGAGATAATGGTATTCTCAGAAAGCACAAGTCAGACTGATTTAAAAATGCATGTATAATGCCTGCATATTCAGATATGTGTTCAGAAATATGGTAGTTGGGCTTTAAAGTACCCTAATTGCCTCCATAGACTGCGTGTTATCAAATCAGTGGACAAGGCTACGATAACTAATTTTACAACACCAGCGTACACCTGTCTCATTAAGCTCACTCAGCTTGAGACAAGCTGCATATTTCCTGAGTGTGTCCATGATTCATCAGCACTAATGAAGGAAACTTCTCCAGCAGCTTCATGTTGAAGGACATTTGGTTGACATATGTTAGTTTGGACCAAAGCATCTGGTGGTGGTCCTGATCATAACGAGCATCCAGCGTGATTCATCAAGTTTGGAATGACTGACCACACACATGCTCACTTCATCCTTCTTTTTATTACACACATCAGTTCCATGCGACTGCGCAACAGATACGAAATGTACGATACACAACAAAGCCCCATAAACACAGGATGTGTGAATTACCTTAACTCTCTGACCCACAAGCAGTTTCTGTGTGGGGTTTTTGTTTTGCTCCTGTCACATTTTTACGTACTATGGACTCATTTGTCACTGCAATATAAAGTCATGCACCTCTATGGAAACAGCACCATCATGGCTAGAAGGACAGAAAACTGAAAAATGTCTTTTGTGCAGTATGACGATTCTAATGGCACAAATTATAAAAAAGACAAAAAATAAAAGTCGGATTTCTTCCATTATTTTAATTTCCCAGGCTTTACTGTTACTGGGAGAAAAAAAGACCACTCCACACATTCTAGATACTTAATTATAAGCATTACAAACTATTTTTCACACTACGCTGCACATCAAACCTAAAAAGATATTTCACCAAGCTGACTGTATCTTCAATTTACTGAACCTTTGTTCTCCATATACGATTGTTGAGTCATGATGCATTTATGTGATTGATCGATTTTGTTACTTTCCTCTTAATCTAATGCGATTCCATCCTCTCTGCTCTGTGTAAACACATCCTGCAGTTCAGCCAAAAAGTTTCACAACTTTTGTCATGTGACTGTTTTGTCTCAGTTCAGTGAATCATGGTTTCTCTGTTGTGCTGTAGAGCACCAAATGCTTTTTGTTTTTTTTTACCACATCTCTTGCAGATGCTTTCTGTTTTTAACTGAGACTGAATAAAGTGCATTTGATGAAATATTAAAGGTTTAAGCATTGATTTAGTTATTTAAAAAAAAAAACATTCAAATGATACATTCGAGGACCTTCAGAAAGTTAAAAATGTGATTTTTTGTTTTTCTTTCAGTTTTTACAATTTCTTGCTCTATTAAATGGAGTAATTTCAGTAATTTTATAAAAGATAACATGCCTTTCAAACTTACCAGCTGCTTTTGGGGTTGAGGGAGGTAATCTTATAAACAAAATCCAATAAACTCCTACCTGGAACAGTATGACGAAAGCCAGTCTTGCAGCCAGGACACACCAGTACTGTTTGGAGAACTGGTACGCATCTGGAGACCAGGGAGGCTCCCTGTAGTCTTTATACCTAGAACCAAACAGACAAGCATACTGAGTGACAGCTAAAAATGGAGCTAGTCAAATAGAATTAGTTTCACTGTTTTAGATGGAAAAATAAATGTGAACGAGCTTTGGAATCAAGTAATCACTTAACACTGAAACAAACCAGAACCACCAACAGAAACTCAACCAATGGACAATCTGAGGAAGACACCACCCACAGTGTTTGACTGACAGGTTATCGCTGGGAAAAGCAGCACAGAGATCCAGACACGCTATCCTCCTGCAGTATCATGTTCATCCTGATGCATCTTTACCTGTCTGAGATGTGGCGTCATTAAAACATACAGCTCCTCCACGCAGCCCGGGACTCGGCCCAAAGTGCAATAAACTTTATTAGGATTCCTTTCCTTTGTTTTCTTTGTAGTAAACACTTTTTATTGTGCTGGCAAAACAAACACGAGAAAACTAGAACCACATGCTGACGGGCTCCGAATGAGGACAAACCGAGGAAAGAGGAGAATACGAGAGCAGGAAAGAAGACATGAAAAAAAAAAAGACAGAGAAGTTGTATATTGTTTAGGACTAACCTGTCTGATAAAATAAGGGCACAATTTTTATATTTTTTGCCACCAGGTGGGTTGACACTGTAGTTTCATCCAACACACACACACACACATATAGATAGAGTCGTGTTTCCATTGCCTCGAAAAGGTATTACATTGACTCACATTTATACAACTAGCTCTACCTTTAGGTATAACGTCTATGTTTAGGAGCTTCAGGAAAAAAAGCAACTGGACTTCTCTTTTAGGTTCTTGAAGATGTTTCTTCCAGGTGCTTTTTACTAAAACTCCTAGAAGTACCATGACTTAGACAAGAAACTACACACACATGAATACTACTTGCATCACCCTAACCTTAATCCATGTCATCCTCCTGATATGTAATCATTTACATTATGGGACTTGTTTTTTGTCCTCAGAATGGAGGCATATTCCCACAATGTGACTGTAAAAAGATTTACATCCCCACATCATTGGTAATATATTAAATTACAAGCACACACACAGACAGCATGAAACAAAGTCAGAGACATGTGATGCTCAAATTCCAGTCGAGGATTAAGGGAGTGAAGGACCTAACACATGTAAACAAAAACATACTTTTATAGGAAGTACGCCATTTCTGCCACGCATTGAATGCAGCTTTCTGCTTATTTCTTTGTTATAGTAACTCACAACTACAACCTCCAAGCAGTTACCTCCATGCGTAAAATAAAATGCTAAAATTAAAAAGATGAAACCCTCCATATCAGAGACACTAAACCTTCAGTTAATTGTTACCTGATGGCTTTTTTTTCATAAACAATGTTATGAATTGTTGATTCTGATGCATGTGTCAGTGTACTGGTGAATGTACAGACTGCAGCTTTGTTGCTGGTGTTACATTCGCAGCATGTAAGAGACCATATAAAAATAAAAACGAGTTGCAGTAACGTAACCTGTGGGCTGTTGGACAGTTCAGGTGCTAGAGCTGCAGCTGTTCTGTTTGAGATTCAGCTGCATTAAGAAAACAAAAAGTTAATCCATCTAAAACCTGTAAAATCTGGAGGAGAAAAGCCAAACTAAATAAAAACATGAATCACCGCGTGTTTCGCCTGCACATACATAAACTGATGGTTTAGATGAGACAACGTATTGTGTACTTTTGTGTTCAGTATTTACTGGGACAAAGCCAAGTGGATGGAAAAGTTTGACCAAGCTGCTTCCTGTTGGATGCAGTCACTCCCAGATAATATACAGAGGTTCTCGCCCTCTTTATGTTCCACTTTGGGGTTCGCAGTCAGCAAGTCACATATGGAGAATCAAAAGAACACAGCAGGATTCAGTCAAAATCAACTCGTACGGGAAGCAGCAAGCTGAGCTGATGTCAGAACGGGGTGAGTCTCTATCAAAGGAATCATCAACAACCAGCTGCCATGCACTAACTGGAGGCTAAAAAACAACAACTCAGACAATCATGGGAGCTGGGACATGAGGGTATTTAAAGTCATCAGATAATATGTTTGCATTCACAATACCAATTAAATGCACTTGGTGGCCTGATGTCAATACATGTAGACGACAGATTGTTCCGGTGATAAAGCCAGTTCATCAGAGCAGACACCCAACACTTAACAACTGCATGAGAAAAAAGTTTTCTAGGTAAACCAAGTTCTGTTCCCAGTCAATCCATGAAAAGGACTTTACACTTTACACATTTGTAGCTGTGAGGGACCCATAGGTTCAGCAGCAGGTTACAGATCTGACCATCTACCAACCCTCTACACATATAAAGGCAATGATTCAGCCGTGATTGGGGTCCGCAGACACGTCTGGCTTCATGTTACAGTATTTATAAGTTCTGTTTTCACAACAGCTATTGTAAAAGAGGCTGCCCTTCCCTGTGGGATGCAAAGCACAACGTACAGCATTCCTTTCATGGTCAGAACTGGGAGACAGTCCTTCTCATTGTTTATCTTGAGAACATCTCTGGGCGAAAATGCATCCTGCCTCTGACTGTACAGAAAAGATTTAAATTTAGAAACAAAGCTCTGCATTATGTGGAGTCTTAGCTATGGACAGAGCAGTCGCTCAGCCAGTATTAGAGCAAATGATCTAGGGCCTGAAGACAGATGGCAGACAGAGACAATCAGGTAGAATTATCACATATATGGTGACGTTATCTAAACACGTGCTTCAACAAATGACATAATAAAGTGCAAACATGAGCACAACTACAGCTACTGTCAATCTATTGCATATCAATAGCAAGCTGCTGTGTCAAGGAAGAAACTTAACCAACATACAGTACAAGAATAATCTGTTGAATAGTGCAGCTACATTAAAAATGACAAAACAACAACTATATTCTGCATGGACTATTTTACTGTAAATAAGGAGGAATTTAATATCGAAAGGGAAAATAGTGAAAAGCTGTTGCTTCTCCAAGACTGTTTTTTTCCCCCCCAAATGCTAATATCATCCATCCGCTGCTCCACCCACAAGTAAATTCGAAACCTCTGGAAAACACTAAGATATGATAATATGGCCAGTATTATCATTTAAGGCCAAGAGTGAGGCAAAAGCATGGCTGGTACCAGTGCTTTTATGATTGTAGCATCAAGGTTCTGAATTAAAACAAGAAATCCATCCTGTGCCGTGACAGAGAAGAGAAGTTCTCCCTGTAGTGTTTCAGCACCGGGAAAGCAGCAATGTGAGGCAATGTCCGTCCATCCATTATCTATACACCACTTAATCCTCACTAGGGTCGCGGGGGGCTGGAGTCTATCCCAGCTGACTCAGGGTGAAG